TCACATAATAAACTGTTGGATGGGAATTTCACAGAATTAAACCTGTTGGTTGGGAATTTCACAGAATTAAACCTGTTGGTTGGGAATTTCACAGAATTAAACCTGTTGGTTGGGTATTTCACAGAATTAAACCTGTTGGATGGGAATTTCACAGAATTAAACCTGTTGAATGTCACACCCAGAACTCCGTGCGAATCCCCCTTGATTCTGGCTGCTGGCCATTTTCGATCATGAAATTGTCGGATATCACCAGAAAACTCGCGATTTGTGCAGTTTTGAATAAAACCAAGTTAGCAATTATGATCCATGGTTATTAACGTAACACCTGATCCCCTCTAAAAATTTTGTTTCGCATTTTAAGGTAAGAAATCGACATTTGAAACCGACAGGGTGTCGATTTACTCGGTGCCGTGTTTCACAACTTGTTTATTTATATACGTACAGCGGATGATTTTTATTGAAAATTAGTATTTATTGATTTTCAGCCCCCAAGTGACTGTGACTCATTCAGCTTTAGTTTAGTAATATTTAAATATTAGTATGATTAATAATTCGTCTCTCAATCTGTTAATCATGATTACGATTGTATTTTTGCTCGTGAAAAGTTTGGGCTTGTTAATTATTACAAAGAATTAGGCGTACGGTGAAATATTGAGAATTTGTGAATATCGTTAGGTAGCCATGGTTACAATGTCGCAATATACTGCTATCTCTAACGTGATAACGACATAAAATGATTGAAAGTGGTGTAATTACACACCAGCATGACACTCGCAACAATACACAATTTTATAAAATTGTTTGAAGAAAGAACTTCATTTGAACAGTTGGTTCAAGTTTCGTAGCGTACGAATGACTTCATTGTTCGTGATCAGCGGAACAGACAGACGAACAATGCAGAGCGGTAGTCGTAAAATTTACTTTTCCTGTGCGTGAGAGCGTCTCGTTATTTCGTTGTTTATATATTCACGTTATACGGTATATATGTAACTAATATGCTACATTGCGTGATGGGAAAGACGCTGGTACCAATCGGTGTTGGGTTTGCTTTTAAAGTTATTAGAATTGGTGATGAAATAGTGTCAAGCCGTCTTCTACTCAGCCAAGGATTCTGAGGAAAGAAATACACTTTATTAGA